CTGATCTGTAATATGAGGGGTAGGACTCTAAGGTCCCTGTCACTCTAGCAGTTCCTGGACCAGCCTCCCAGGTCACCCCGGATGGCACAGCAGCGGGAACAAAGGCAGGGCCTGGGGGGAGTCCAGAGCTAGCATCAGCCTCTGCACCCCTCCTGCAGGGCGTTCTTCTCTGGGCCTGGCAGGCTCTCTGGGATGGCCTGGGGCCAGCGGGGAGGAGAGCGGAGGGGGCCAGGGAAAGATCCCTGTAAGGAGGATTGGCTGGAACATCCCACTGACTCCACACAGAAGCCTCAAGAGGCAGAGCCTGCTGTACCCATTTTATAGTGAAGGAAACTGAGGCCCAGAGGGCTGCGTGTAAGTGGCTTACCCGAAGCCGCCCACTGGGAAGTGGCAGAGGTGGGCCTAGGACCAATCTTCTAATCACAAATCCCACTGCATCCCTGCTGCCAAAGGTGTTTTGACATTATTATTTCATACTTTTCAATTACCCACATTCCTGGAAGGAGCTGTTGACCAAACCAATAAGTGACAAGCCAATTAGTATAATTCAGTCTGGATCTGGGATATGTCTGGGACTCCTTTTTTCTTAGCAATAACATGTCATTCTAAAGAAATTTGTCCAGGCTGATGTTTGGAGTGCCCGGGCACGGCTCTGCCGAAGTCACTGGGGAGGGCGGGCCCTGGGATCCAAACACAAGGTTTCCTGAGGTACAGCTGTCCTCAGTTACTGGGAATAGGGCTCCTTCCCCCTCATGCCCAGGAACCCCAGCCGTTGGGGTGGCAATATGGGCTCAGCCCCAGCCGTTGGGTGGCAAGCTGAAACCACGGCCCTGGGGGTGGCAGGAAATGCAGGGAGGGGATTTCCCAGGTCCCTTCGGCCTCTCCTTTCCACCTGTTTTCTCTTTCTCTCTCTCCTGCCTGTCACTGGGCCTGGGAAGGAGAGAGCGCCCTCTGGGCATGGAGTGAGAGTATAAATGGGAGAGAGGAAAGGCCTGGACAGGGCAGCCCACTGGCCAGTGGCCCTTCCCCATCTCCCGGGCCTCCTTGTTCCACTCAGCACCTCCCTGGTATCTCACCATCTATGACTCTGTCGCCCCCCATACAGTCCTACATCAGCCCCCTAACAGGCTGTGACCCTTTCTCCAGACCATCCTGCGCGCGGCGACAAGACAAGCACGACTCCCATTTCACTAGCGACAGCCAGTTACTCGGATCGAGTGCCTTCTCAGGGCCAAGCAGGGTGCCAGGCATGGGGGCCACAGTGAACGGACTGCAGCAGATGCCTTGGGAGGCCTGTGGTGGAGCCAGCAGTTATATGAAGCATTTGGAGCTCCCTTAACACCACAGAGGAACCGCTGGGGGCTCATGTTCTAGCGACTACAGCTGCTCGCTATTGCTTCCTGAGACCAGGCTCTGCAGAATTTGGCCGCCCAGAACCAGCTTTTACACACACACACACACACACACACACACACACACACACACACACACACACCACACACACCAGGTTTCTTTCTGTCTCTCTGTCTCTCTGTCTCTCTCTCTCTCTCTGTCTCTCTCTCTTTCTCTCTCTCTTCTCTATGGAAAATCAGCATGGCTTAGGGAATATCAAGTCAGAAAAACTGGGTTTGAGTCCAGCATCTGTCAGCTACTTTCTGAGCCTTTCTCAGCCTCAGTTTATTTGTGGGTCAACAGCTACAAAGTCTACCTCATGGCATTGTCATGTGCACCATTGTCTTGGACACTGTAAACGAATGTTGGTCGTTGTCATATAAACTGATTCTGTCTCCCTTCACTTCCCCACAGCTCCTTCCCATGTCAGCCATCTCGGCACCTATTCTCTCGGGACTTTGCTGCGGC